TCTCTGCAGTACGGGCGACCGCTTTCCGTACCCCTCCTCTCTGATGCATGTTATAATCTCGTAGCCGCGAGAAGAGATCTGGGCACTAGAATGGTGTTAAGGACAACTCGTGTAGACTTACATGGACATTTATCCATCAATGGCGGGAGAAATGGCGGAAAACCAAACTCGAATAGCCGACCATCAGTTTAAAGATGAAGTGTTTCGCAGCCTGAATGACTTAAGAAACTCAAAACTGCTTTGCGACACAATAATTCGAGCTGAAACAAAAGAATTTCCAGCTCACCGATGTGTTTTGTCTGCTGCTAGTTTGTATTTTCGTGGGCTGTTTGCAACAGAGCTGGGTGGAAGCGAAAGCCAGCGAAAGCAACCTCATTGAACTTCATTTACTCAAATGTACCGCAATAAACGAAGTTCTTGAATTTATTTACACTGGAGAAGCTACAGTTAACAGTTCTAATGCACAAGACGTGATTGTAGCAGCCGATTACCTGATTATTCCATCGTTAAAAGCGAAAGCTTCAGAGTTCATGGAGAACACGATTAATGCTTCGAATTGTTTGGCCATGGAATCGTTTGCTTCCCAATTTCATTGTGATTCGCTGAAACGAGCTGCGTTAAAGTGCATATGCCAGCATTTTACCTCTGTCGTTGAGTCGGAAGATTTCAAAACTTCGGAATATAACAAGGTTAAGATGTTTATATCCCAAGACGAGATAATTGTTTCCAAAGAGGAGGAAGTTTATGAAGCTGTTATCCGCTGGGTGAAACACGATATGGTTAGCCGTGAGTCCTTCTTGCCCGAGCTCCTCAAATGTGTTCGTATCTTTTCTATGTCGAAGTTCAGTCTGCGAGAAATAGTGGCGAACGAAGAACTAGTCTTAAACAACCAGGAGTGTATGAGCACTGTCCTTGAAGGAATGAGTTCGTTTCTTTTTCCAGATGATGCGGCCTCCAGACTATTCGAAAGACCTCGTTTATGCCTCAAGACACATGAGCCTGTCGTAGTTTTTACTGGTGGCCATGTAATACCTTGTCAAATGTATCCACCTTCAAGAAAAACATTTGGCTTTTTGCCTGCCACGAAACAGTGGGTAGAGTTACCAAAGATGACTGTGGGTCGCTCACGACATGCAGCAGCAGTTTGTAATGGTCATTTGTTTGTGGTGGGTGGTCAGGAATGTGCAGCTCTGTCTTATTACAACCCTTTTCAAAATAAATGGTGTACTAAGAAAGATAAGATGATTCCAGTTCGCATGGGTGCAACACTTACTACTCACAAGGTATATGATTGGCGGCAAAAAGGACAGTGGAATAATCTTGCACTCTGTTAGCAAGTATAGTTTTCAGCTTAACAGATGGACAGACCTGTCCCCGATGCGGTTTCCTCGGGCTGCTCACTGTGCAGTTGGCCTTGACGGACTAATCTATATTATAGCAGGTCAAGATAATGGTGTTTGTTTAAAGTGCGTGGAATGTTATGATCCATCAAATGATGAATGGTCTCAGGCCCCAGCTATGACGAATGAACGTAAGTTTGCTGCTGCTGCAGCTACTTCTGGGGATAAAATAATTGTTGTTGGTGGTTATGCAGACATGGAATGTGAAAACCTGGTGGAAAGTTGTGAGATCTTTATCAAAAGCACTAATGAATGGAACATAGTGGCTGGTCCCATTGTACCTCGTGCTGCATGTGGTATAGTGAGCATCGAAGATTGTGTCTATCTGTTTGGGGGTGAAGATGGAGAGACAGAGATTGGCAGCGTGGAGTGCTATTCTTTCCAAGGAGGTGCTTGGCACTTGATCGGTAACATGCCCAAACCACTTACATGTCTTCAAGCCTCATTGTTGCAACTACCCATGGAATATTTCTGTGAACAATTGAAAGTTATGTGATCTTGCAATTTAAATTTGAATGGCCTCCCTTCTGCATAAAAGTATACTAGTCTTGTAGGATGTAAAGAATATGTCATTTAAAGTTGTAATAGTTAAATATTATTATTATTATTATTATTATTATTATTATTGTTATTATTATTATTATTGTTACTATTATTATTGTCATTGGTTCAAAATCCTTAAACCAGGTAATACCCTGAAGCCATTTTAGCGTTATTTTCAGTGATTGTTCAAGTGATTGATTCTTCTTTAAGCCGTACCTTCCATTGGAGTGTACGTACTTGTTGAAAGCCTGCAAGTTAGACTGAAACCTTCTTTTTAGTTGACATTTTTTCTAATGGAGCGAATGCAAAATCTTGTGTATTTAAAAAACGATAAACCAAAGGGGCAGACGTTCTGCATAAATTCCTTGCACTTTAAGGAAGTTAAATCGGTGTAAACAAAGATGACTAAAATAGTATAAGTCTATTTATACATAAGCTTACATTTGGCTTACATTATTTATTCATTCACACAAAGAAAGACGTACGCATATTTCACTCGACAAGNGACCATCAGTTTAAAGATGAAGTGTTTCGCAGCCTGAATGACTTAAGAAACTCAAAACTGCTTTGCGACACAATAATTCGAGCTGAAACAAAAGAATTTCCAGCTCACCGATGTGTTTTGTCTGCTGCTAGTTTGTATTTTCGTGGGCTGTTTGCAACAGAGCTGGGTGGAAGCGAAAGCCAGCGAAAGCAACCTCATTGAACTTCATTTACTCAAATGTACCGCAATAAACGAAGTTCTTGAATTTATTTACACTGGAGAAGCTACAGTTAACAGTTCTAATGCACAAGACGTGATTGTAGCAGCCGATTACCTGATTATTCCATCGTTAAAAGCGAAAGCTTCAGAGTTCATGGAGAACACGATTAATGCTTCGAATTGTTTGGCCATGGAATCGTTTGCTTCCCAATTTCATTGTGATTCGCTGAAACGAGCTGCGTTAAAGTGCATATGCCAGCATTTTACCTCTGTCGTTGAGTCGGAAGATTTCAAAACTTCGGAATATAACAAGGTTAAGATGTTTATATCCCAAGACGAGATAATTGTTTCCAAAGAGGAGGAAGTTTATGAAGCTGTTATCCGCTGGGTGAAACACGATATGGTTAGCCGTGAGTCCTTCTTGCCCGAGCTCCTCAAATGTGTTCGTATCTTTTCTATGTCGAAGTTCAGTCTGCGAGAAATAGTGGCGAACGAAGAACTAGTCTTAAACAACCAGGAGTGTATGAGCACTGTCCTTGAAGGAATGAGTTCGTTTCTTTTTCCAGATGATGCGGCCTCCAGACTATTCGAAAGACCTCGTTTATGCCTCAAGACACATGAGCCTGTCGTAGTTTTTACTGGTGGCCATGTAATACCTTGTCAAATGTATCCACCTTCAAGAAAAACATTTGGCTTTTTGCCTGCCACGAAACAGTGGGTAGAGTTACCAAAGATGACTGTGGGTCGCTCACGACATGCAGCAGCAGTTTGTAATGGTCATTTGTTTGTGGTGGGTGGTCAGGAATGTGCAGCTCTGTCTTATTACAACCCTTTTCAAAATAAATGGTGTACTAAGAAAGATAAGATGATTCCAGTTCGCATGGGTGCAACACTTACTACTCACAAGGTATATGATTGGCGGCAAAAAGGACAGTGGAATAATCTTGCACTCTGTTAGCAAGTATAGTTTTCAGCTTAACAGATGGACAGACCTGTCCCCGATGCGGTTTCCTCGGGCTGCTCACTGTGCAGTTGGCCTTGACGGACTAATCTATATTATAGCAGGTCAAGATAATGGTGTTTGTTTAAAGTGCGTGGAATGTTATGATCCATCAAATGATGAATGGTCTCAGGCCCCAGCTATGACGAATGAACGTAAGTTTGCTGCTGCTGCAGCTACTTCTGGGGATAAAATAATTGTTGTTGGTGGTTATGCAGACATGGAATGTGAAAACCTGGTGGAAAGTTGTGAGATCTTTATCAAAAGCACTAATGAATGGAACATAGTGGCTGGTCCCATTGTACCTCGTGCTGCATGTGGTATAGTGAGCATCGAAGATTGTGTCTATCTGTTTGGGGGTGAAGATGGAGAGACAGAGATTGGCAGCGTGGAGTGCTATTCTTTCCAAGGAGGTGCTTGGCACTTGATCGGTAACATGCCCAAACCACTTACATGTCTTCAAGCCTCATTGTTGCAACTACCCATGGAATATTTCTGTGAACAATTGAAAGTTATGTGATCTTGCAATTTAAATTTGAATGGCCTCCCTTCTGCATAAAAGTATACTAGTTTTGTAGGATGTAAAGAATATGTCATTTAAAGTTGTAATAGTTAAATATTATTATTATTATTATTATTATTATTATTATTGTTATTATTATTATTATTGTTACTATTATTATTGTCATTGGTTCAAAATCCTTAAACCAGGTAATACCCTGAAGCCATTTTAGCGTTATTTTCAGTGATTGTTCAAGTGATTGATTCTTCTTTAAGCCGTACCTTCCATTGGAGTGTACGTACTTGTTGAAAGCCTGCAAGTTAGACTGAAACCTTCTTTTTAGTTGACATTTTTTCTAATGGAGCGAATGCAAAATCTTGTGTATTTAAAAAACGATAAACCAAAGGGGCAGACGTTCTGCATAAATTCCTTGCACTTTAAGGAAGTTAAATCGGTGTAAACAAAGATGACTAAAATAGTATAAGTCTATTTATACATAAGCTTACATTTGGCTTACATTATTTATTCATTCACACAAAGAAAGACGTACGCATATTTCACTCGACAAGAACTCGAACACAGAATTTTATACAGACGATATACTGAGCAGTTTAAACTCCATTTTACAGATATACACAAGAGTAAAATAGAATAGTAAGAAGTAAGATAATTAACGGGAATAAAATATTGTCATTTTAACAAACTTTACCCTTTTCAAACTTAAAAAGTTTACTTCTTCTTTTCATGGCTTAGTCGCTTTTTTCCTTTGGCTTCCTGGTTACGTTTAAGCTTTGAAATCTTACTATTTTTAAGATTTCTATCGTTTTCCAGTGACTCAGTGGCAAATTACCTATGTTTGTTTTTGCTTTTGCAAAGAAGTTGACCCACATTAGCCTCGCAATCGTGCTTGTTCCAGGGTTGTCAGGGAATACAAAATTGATATCACTTTCTGATATATTTCATGGAAAGAGAATAGAAACTCTGGGGTCACACAATTTTGCCGACCACTATTTCGGTCAATTTCTGGTCAGGTTCGTTGTTTTTCTTAGTGATGACGAGCTGATTTTCCTTTTGCTGTTTGAAACAATGATTTATCAAGCCTACAAGTAAGTTTTGAGACCTCTAAAACCTTTCAACGTTTCAAATTTTCCTTTTTTTCAGCAACTCAGCCGCAGTTTTCTCAGGTTTGTTTGTCTTCTTGGTGAGAAGTTACCCGCAGTAGCCTCGCTTTCGCGCAAAAACAAGCACTCTTCCTAGGCCGCCCGGGAATACGAAACTGGCCTATTGCCAGTATATTGTGTGATAGGTTTATAATTTGAGAACCATAAGTGAAAAGTATGTCAAAAACCATTTTGTTGTAATAATTAATACCGTAAAAACTCGTGTATAAGCCGCACCCCCAACTTTCAAGCATGATTTTGAAAAAAAGAAAAAAACCAAAAATGCGCTTTTGTAAAAAAGGTGATCGTTTGTTCGCGCATCAAAATGTTCACAAATAAACTTGAGGAAATTTAATGTTGTGTATTTGCAGTGACATTTTAAATAAGTTAATCAACTCTGAAAATACCTTTTAAAAGGTTCTCTTTAATCAATTTCCCCATTTCCTGCGAAAGACAACAGTTCTCTTCATTGCTAAAGCCCACAGTTGAAATGAAAATGGAACGATGGAACGAAAATAAAGCGCTGGAGAATGCTACAAAACGATTGCTTAGTAACCACGCGTTTATTTGACGAGGGAAGTCTGGACACCAGAGAAGGACACAAGTAAACAAATGCTGGACTTGTGAAGACTGTATTATACAAAACTGAATAATATATTTACAAGTAACAGGTACAGATATCTTGATATTAGAAAACGAAATTCCTTGTGACCCCTACAAGCCAGTTTACTCCCTTTGAGAGCAATGGTCTCGTGTATAAGCCGCACCCGCGATTTTTGACTCAAAATTTCGGCAAAAAGGTGCGGCTTATACACGAGTTTTTACGGTACTCCTCAAGTAATTTCATTGTTATATGCATTTGATCATTTGCACTGTATTGATGATGATGATGGTGTATGTGTTGTGATTCAATTTTATCCTTGGTATAAATGTTTTTGGGTAATAATATTGGTAATGTATGATGTGAAGTAATGTATGATAATGTATGATAACAAGTTTTGAAACAAAAGAAAATAAAATTTAAACCAAGGATAAAATTGAACCACAACATATTTATGAATGTATCATTCATGATGATGATGATTATACATTGTACTCACTATCCGTCTTCTCATTGGCTAAGAGCCTACAGTTAATTTCGGAAATCAGTGCAACCTACTGATTAGTTAGTGATTATCTGCTAGCAGATTAGCAACTGATCTGTAGGTTGCAAGTGCAAAGAATGATTCCCCAGAGCTACGTCAAACTCTGTTCGATGCGATGCTGTGTTTGTCCTTATTTTCTTCAAAACAGTGTATAATAAAACAATTTTTAGATTGGGTTTTTGTATCCAAAATAATCAAGGTCCTGGTAAGTGTTATCAGCCTCGGCCTTTGGCTCAGCTGATAACACTTACCTTGACCTTGATTATTCCGGATATCACAAAAACCTCATCCAATAATTGCTTATAATCTTCGTCATTATAATTTTACTGATATTGTCAGTGTTAATGCTATTGCTGTTACTTTTAATAAGAACATCCAGTGCATACACAAATATTAGTGTAAATTATAAATATGTATAGTGTAAGTGTAAAGTAGCTAAAGACATTGATTCTTTATTTTGAGTGGTATCGTGGAGAAAAACGTTCAGCGAGCCATTGTTTTTGTTCAACACAAGCAATAAAAATTTACTGCAGTCACGATTTGAAGAAACAAATAAAACTAGCTTAGGACGCCTGTGTTGATAATGCTGTAGAATATGTATATTCTATTGTCATCTTTATTGTGCGAATTTAAAATGTTATTCATTCCTTTCTTCAGCCGTCTACCTGGAACAAACATTTCCTCAGTTCTAGCGTCAAGCAAATGATTTTGCAGTGGGGGATGAGAACTGAGGAGAAAAATTGGCACGGATTACAATCTCGTGTGACATTGCAAATAGGTTACTAACAGCGGCCAGAATCGTCTAGCCCAGAAGGTCCGGTTCTAGCAGTTGTCAGTTTGAGGCTAGATGCTTGGAAGTTCATTTTTCGAAACTTCAACATTGCGCGTACTCCGCAAATAACTGCTGCAAAGTTTCGCCTCTGAGTAGGTTTCTGCGATGAATGCAACGGGGTCATTTGCATCCATGGATGGTTGAACGCCTCTGAAGCTGTCGGTCTATGAACAGGTTGCACAACGAGTAACCGCTGAACAAGATCTTTCGCTTCGTTTGAGACGTTGTTCCAATAGGGCGAAGGCATTGAGTAATTGCCTTGGAGAATAGACAGCAACAACTTCTCATCATTGCTGCTCCAAAATGGAGGGTAGCCCGCAAGAAGAATAAATAAAATTACACCGCAGGACCACAAGTCGACTGGCTGGCCAATCGGTTCTTCCAATATCGTTTCTGGCGCCAGAAATAACGGTGCACCAGCTGCGTCACAACCAATCACATCAGAGCGTTCGGGTAGTCTTCTTGCCAACCCGAAGTCGGCGAGTTTCACGGTCACATGATCCGAGTGTTTGGATCGGCTGATCAGAAGATTGTCTGCTTTAACATCTCGATGAACAATACGCTTTCCATGAAGGTATTTTAGGGCTTGTAAAAGCTGCAAAATAAAAGCATCGTATTCAGCCAATGTAAAATTAAGTAATGCCAAAAAGTAGAAGTTATAACAATCATCAATTATTACAAGTAATTGCTATTTATTGTACGCCTGGGACTTCCCGATCGGGCAAGGCCCGTGTTGATCCCGTAAGAAAAAATTCTTTTGGTCTTATAATAAATTCTATATTGCCATTAAAGCTTGAACGAGTTCGTTTAAGATGGTCGACTAAGTAGTCAAAAAAAGAAGATGACCAATATTCAGCCCTCACGCTTGGTCCGCAATAACCCATATAATTATACTGTTGTGTGCCAGTGCTAACGCTAAAAGTCTTTCTAACGCTCCAAGACCTTTTTTCACAGTCACGGATTTAACATACGTTTCGTTTCAAAAAAAAAACATTTCTCCAACTCACTCAAGACTCCGAAAAGCCAGTAAAAAGAGAAGGCCGAGGACTTAAGAGTACGTCACTGGTGATGAATGATTTGAGGGCGGTCTTGAAATAGAGGCCTTGTTCCAAAAATAGTTTAAAGGTGAAACTAAAAACAAAGGCTTGACGGCAGGGTTATGGGCTCCTGGCTTGAGACTATAAGGCGCAAGGTACTGTAGGATGAAGGCTGTCGGATTGTTTTTTTGTCTCTCCTCTGTCAGTAATAACAGCGCATTCTATTTAAAAGGATGTTAACTACGCCTCGGGTAATGTCAAGAGTTTTTCAAGTTTCCGTTTCCTCTCCACATCGCTGCAGGAACTTAAGAAAATAAATTTATGTAAAGCGGAAAATCAGATCCAGTTTTGTACCATACAAAATTCGAAAATCAAGAAAAGGATTATTTTCCACCGATCATTCAGCCAATGCAATGTTGCGCGTTGGATAAAACGTGAGGAAAAACAGATGAAATCATAAAATTGTTTCTACAAAGAAAAGCGATGACGTTTCTGATATCATATATATTCTGACTGTATCGTGACTTCGCGATCGTGGGACTCCAGACAAAACATCTTGTAACGCTCGGTTGCAGTTGAATCAATATCCTTGTTATGACAACGCCGATTGGATAATTAGAACTTCTTTGTACTATGATCTCAACTTGGAACATCGATATCCGCCTTACATGCTGACATAACTACGGTAGCCCGGCCTCTTTGGTACAGTACTACTATAGCTAGCTTTTGCCAAAGACTGAGCACATTGCAGGCCAAGTACTTGGCTCCATCCGTTTACTTTGGCAGTATTAAAAACAAACGGAAAACTTGAAGTCGGATGGTAAAAGGCGAGGAGAGGATATAATTGTGAAGCTGTCTGCTTTGCGGTCTTTTTCATGAATCGGTTAATTAAAATTGGACTCGAATTTAGGCCAATATCAACGGAGTTCATAAACCCTCCGTAGGAAAGTATCTTATATATTCAGTTTATATTTAAAAATACTGAAGGCTACAGTATTTCAAAATTATTACATAATTGTAAAAAAAACTACAGTTTTAACTTTGAGAAAAATTTCTAAGGGAGGGCCTGGCAAATAAACTCAATTACCTGGCGAAAAATGACTAAGCACTCTTGTATTGGAAGTTAGATAGCTTACCATCAACCCATGAAAAAGCCACTAAGTGGTTTTAAAACAATGAACAATTCAACACAAAATTAAAGCAGGGCCTGAAAAGTTTTATTAGTTTTACTTACTTGTTTCATGATGTTGCGAGCTTGCTCTTCGCCATAGACTTTGTGTCCCACAATCTCATCGAATAAACTCCCACCTTCGATGTATTCACAAACAAGATACATGAACGAGTGGTCTCGAAATGTTCTGTGCAACGAAACAATGTTTTCGTGCTCCAAACCTTTCCAAATCTCTACTTCGTTATCAAAGGTTTCCATAGAGAGCGCTTGACTTCGCGGTAATTCCTTAACTGCGAAGGTCTTCTCGCTTGTTCTCTCCAGGCACTTATAAACCTTGCCGAAAGATCCCTCACCAATAAAATCTTGAATTTCAAATTCGTCTTGGAAGCAGCGCGACAAATAAGAGCCTTTGGGAAATCGGGATGGCATCTTGAATCGGTTCAGTACTAGCTGCAATAAACCACGCAGCTTTAGAGTGGCAACTGTTACAAATATCTTTACACACTGTTAATAATGTGTAAATACAGGTATCTCCTGCTACGTCACCTGAGAATTACCCAATGAGATCTTACGTTATACCATAAACATATATAGGCGTTTTAGCAGTTCCTTCCGTGGGCGTAGAAAAGAGTGCTCTTCGACGCCTTGCTTATTTTGAGCAATAAAAACAAAGATAAGATCATAAGGGTCACAATTCGAGTGAACCTGTCACAGGAATCACGCAGAATTTTTGTCTCTCAAACAAGTTAAGTTCTGCGAGCACGTTTGATTTAGCGATATGGGTACGGCGGATATTTTTCCAGGTTCAGTTTGATATACTTCACAGATACTTTAAAGTTTACTAAAAATCCAGACAGCAAGTAATAAAGGAAATAGATTTAATATTTTCAAGTTTCGTCATGGTCACAAGACTTACAAACAGCTTTTTGTTATTAAATGTCTAAAATTTCAATCTTTCAGCACTTGCTACTATCGTGGCTGAGGGTGAGTCACAGGTTTTTTTTAGGATGTTGTCACTGTGTTGTGGTTAATTTTTTCCCCTTTTTTTCAATTTTGCAGGTTTGTATCGGGACTCTCTCAATATTAGACCTTTCTTATGGTCGATAGAGGAGTAGAAGAGTAAACTGACGCAGGCAACGTTAAGTGCCCATTTTTATGTTGGTGCTTCTTGTTGTTTAATATTGCACCAGAGACGGAGAAATGTGTCTTTCCTTCTGAACTATTACTTTGGACATCCTTCTTCGGGAACGAAATCTATTCTTTTGTTATTTGAAGTCTATTAAAAAAGAATCGTGACTTTTAAATTAATCGAAGATAAACTTCCTGATACAAGATGGACTGATAAAGAGATAACGCCTCAGGCAAGGTGGTACTTCATGCCCTCCTGAGCATAAGATTCTGCCTTTCAGTCAGATTATCTGTTAGGCTTCCTGTTGTTAAATGATATCAAGAAGAATTTGCTGAGCTGAAAAAAAAACTAGTCGAAGTCCTCCATCACTCATCAGATGACCGAACGTTCATCATTGATCATCAAACCGAATGTGATAAGAAATTAGCCATTAATTATTATCCTTGTTGGCATTATACCTTGCTCGAGACAGTGCAGTGTACAGTGTTTCCCGTTCTTTTTGGGGCAAAAAAAAGATTGCCTCATTTTTCTTATACTCCTGACTGACGGATACCCTTTGTAAGGCTCAAAACCGGCATCACTATAAATTACAGGGGTGGGCTGGGGAGAGGTGTAGGGGGTGCACACCCCCTTCCCCCTCCCCCTGAGATGACCTGCGGCTTTCTAATACAGTTATTCAAAATCTGCTGTTCGTCTGAAATGTATTCTGAGCAGTTCACATTATATTATTGCCTAGTCAAAAGCCTTCTTCTTCGTATCCGCTTTTAAAATTTGTTTACGTCACCAGTCAGTTACGCCATTCCTTAGTGGTTCACCCCCCCCACTCCCCCTAAGAAAAATCCTGGATCCGCCTTGAATTTTTTTTTTCGGGCGTGAGATCAAGGCAGAACTGTTGTCGAAAAAATGTCTAGAAAGTCCATTACTATTTCTCTTCTTTTAAGGCTTAGCCAATACCCTACAGCGGCAAGAACTTATATAGGCTTAGTTTCTTCTAGGAAAGGAAGGAAATGGCAGGGAATATAAGGGAAAAGTAGCTACCTAACGGTATGATAAGGAAGTATTTCAAGCCACTGTAAGTTATTAATGTACGGACACTTACCATTCGATACAGTTTTTAAACTGTCATTAAAGTACTTGACATCTTGATACAAGCAGCTCTTCTTACCTACGATGACGCGTGAATTCTAAAGCGTTGCATGCAAGTTCTTAATAGACCTAGGATATTGTCAACAATAATTGATTCTCGATACTTCTTGGATGTCTTGGCCATTAGCCCAATTGGTACGCAGAGCATAGGTGAGATCAGAATAGATATCCCTATTCCACGAAAACGCCAAGAATACTGACCAAAAAACCCTGATTTTAGTGGCGAAGTGTCAGTGTAATTCGACTATATAATGTAAATAGCTATAGTCTTTGACGGCCCTAAAATAGGTTCTTAAACTACATAAAATCCTGGTTAAAGCAAAAAAAGTGAAAACAAATAAAATCATAGCCACAGGCGATGCTGATGGAGTTATACGTGATAGCTCGTGATTTAATGTGAAGAAGTAAACAAGCACCAAAGACACCTCTGGCACAAAGAATAGTGGAACAGTGCCCGAAACTATTTTCACACTTTTCAGAGAGAAATTCCTCTAAAAGATATCCTCAGATTCGACCAGCGGTGGGCTTCCTCACCGAAACCAACGTCAGAATAAAGAGTACAGACATGGAGTTTATCAATTGATCTACTAAAATAAGTAACAAAAGAAATGATTCACAAGCCTTCGTTCACTTTACTTTCGTGCAGTTCCATATCAACAGCTTATAAGGTTATCAGTAGGACTCGGAAATCCGACGAATGCACACGATCACACTTCCCAAAGCTAGTGTTCCTATTCGGGTACGAGTTACATCCGCGACTATAATTCCAACACGTCTAAAGTTACTGAACTGGAATGAATAACATCGAATTGTACGAATGAAAGGGGGAAATGGAGAGCCCATTAGGGATCGTATGTGAAGTTGACTTGGAATCTTAACAAAAATTTGAAGAACTTTTTAAAACTGAAGAATCGTGTCAGTATCTGAAAGGTATAGCCTATTTAATTGCTGATAAGTTTTGTTTACCTAAAAGAAAACCAATTTAAAGGAATTATGATAAACTCTTGGAAGTTGAAATTGTACCATTTTTCACGTTCACAACTAAACGCTATTTCACGATCAGAGCCAACGACGCTTGGCCGTGGCCATAAATGTTAGGAGAATAAAATTTTACAAGAAAGAAGAATTAAGAGCTGCTTGTTGATAAATTGATCTCATTTTAAGTCATTTTCTTGTCTCACCTTTTTTCTTGCTTATTTACTTGGTCTCAATTTGCTCCTAAAACGGCTCTTATCGATCTATGAGATCGGTTTTTAGACAGCTGTAAACTGACAAAGTGAGGCAGTAGTGCTCTATGAAAGAAAAAGGGAAAAATTGAGAAACTGCGGAACAGTATTCACTTAGACATTCGAACTGTGTTTGTACTTTCAAAAAAATAATTTAAAGACCTACCTTTTTGGGAAATTTATTAAAAATGGTTTAATTTCTTGTTAGAGTTTAATGTTTTTTTATCTTAAAGACTTTTGTTCTTGGGCCATCGTAGCTTACTCAAAAATAGAGCACATATTTAACAGCGGTGATAAACACTGCAGTGAACATTCGCATTTTTATATAAACTTTACGTTTCGTATCATAGTCAACATACATTTTCAAAAGTGATCTAAAGTGACCGTTACAGTTTATGAGGAGACTATTTATACAAAATTTACAAAAGTCTGGAAATAGGGTGAACTGATCTTTCGAGTTAAAAAATTATAGGTATATGGCTGAATACAGACACCAATTCAAATGACACATTGATAGAGGATTAGCCTCGACCTCGGAAGTAAAATCTTTACGAAGACCAGTGGGCAGGAGAATGTCAGATTAAATCATGAAGATAGAAAAATATAATAATTTTGGCAACAGAGTTTTCTTCTCGATGGATTGCAGAGGAAGGCTAACTCCGCAAAAATACGTCTTCAGTGCTTTTATTCGGCGGTCTTCGAGAAATCGAAACTAAATTAAGAGTAGAAAAAGGCATTCACATAAGGGCTTATAGGCACCATACTGTGTAACTCAATAAAACAACAAACTGAAAGGAAGGCTGGCAATACGGCGCCAAGGAGCTGATTTATTAGAGACCAACGAGTGCTTCGGCTAACAAAACTAGCCTTTAGTCAGGGCCAGAGCTACACCGGAAAGAAAATACTTTAACGGTTCATTGTAGCTTTGGCCTTGTCGGGAAGACTAAATCTGTTATAATTAGCCGTTGGATATTGGCCTCTTTATAAATAGACCCTTTTCCGTTTTAACAGCCTTGGTGTTCAGTTTTTTTTAAATTTACACTTCAAGCGACGCGTACCTGCCTCAAGTTTGATTTATCCCGCTTAGAGGTCCTGCAAGGGCAAATTTAAACCAGTGGGTTAGGGACCGTTCATTTTTAATAGGGAAGGGGGGCTGGTGGGAATCGAAGGGTAGCTCCTGTGGTATATGATGCCCCCCCCCTCTTCACTAGAATGAATGTCAGATTAAATAATAATAATAATAATAATAATAATAATAATAATAATAATAATAATAATAATAATAATAATAATAATAATAACATAAATCATGAAGAAAGAAAAATATAATAATTTTGGCAACAGAGTTTTCTTCTCGATGGATTGCAGGGGAAGGCTATATATATATAGCTAACTCCGCAAAAATACGTCTTCAGTGCTTTTATTCGGCGCGGTCTTCGAGAAATCGAAACTAAATTAAGAGTAGAAAAGGGCATTCACATAAGGGCTTATTGCACCATACTGTGTAACTCAATAAAACAACAAACTAAACGGAAGGCTGGCAATACGGCCAAGGAGCTGATTTATTAGAGGTCAATGCTTCGGCTAACAAAACTAGCCTTTAGTCAGGGCCAGAGCTACACAGGAAAGAAATACTTTAATGGTTCATTGCAGCTTTGGCCTTGCCGGGAAGACTAAATTTGTTAGCCGTTGGATATTGGCCTCTTTATAAATTGACCCTTTGCCGTAATACCAGCCTTGCATGGCGTTCAGTTTTTTAAAATTTACACTTCAAGCGACGCGCACCCGCCTCAAGTTTGATTTACAGCTATTTAGAGAAAGGTTGTCGAAAAAATGTAAACGCGACAATCCCGAGAGGTAATATGGGATATGATCAATACGTTGTTCCTGACAGTTGAGCTGTCGAACTTACTTTTGTTGCTTATCCTTTAGCAATTGCAAACATAAGTCTATGACCTCTTGTGCCATTCTTTTAAATTTCTTTGAAGAACAGTGAACTCAAAACC